CCATCAAATTAGAATAAGGCTCTACTACACAGGAGACAAAGACAGAGAGATAGAGAGATAGAGCGACAGAGAGAAAGGGAGAGACAGGGAGAGACAGAGACAGAGAGACACACACAGAGAGAGACACACGCACACATACACGCACAGAGACAGAGAGGCGGAGAGAGGGAACTATATAATAAGCGTAGGTCCCTCTTCGGATCACTTTTGGATCATCCGCCGTCCATTATTGGAACTCATAGTTATATTCTTGTCTTGTCTTGTACTCTGTATTTGGCAGATTCCTGGAAGTAGAAGAAATTATTATAACGCAGTTTGTCGCTCACATGGTAAGTTGATTGTACAGTATTTTTATTGCTTTCTCCGGTGTGTCACTGTCTACACGTGGAGCAACACTTGTGACTGCAGTCTCAACTCTGAAGACGTCACCTCACTTTGATTCTTTTTCTGTTTTTTCCACTTTGTGTATCCATGATCCATGGCCCTGTACAGTATGTTGAAGTGCATGGGAGTAGGCCGCTCATAGCCGCTTAGATTCAGGGCATGCCCGGGAACAAGCTAATTCCGTCAATTTTGACCGGAACAGTGTGTTCCTCGTACCGTGGAGTGCTACCCATTCAGGATTCAGATTCTTCAAGTTGTTGTGGTTTCGAGCTGATAAACCACGTCTTTTGAGGATTCTAGACGGCCGTTGTGTGTACGTATGCTGCACTGCGAGAGTGCTTTTAAGGTTTACAGGACTTTTGTGCAGTTGCATCCCAGATTGCAAGTACATTAGGAATCTGCATGGAACCCTCTTGCAGGTCTACACGTCTTCATGTCTGTAATGCACTGGGGCGAGGTGTACAGAAGGCCTTGCAGATGGGCTGCCCGTACTAGTAGGTACAATGTGTATGAAGAGAGTGTAGTCTGAGCAGAGCGTAGGTATCCAGGTCGGGATAGAAGTAAACTACGGTGAGAACTCACGGATCACTGTCAGGACTCGAACCAGAGATTCCCGTGATCATCCAGCGACGCTGGAACCACTGAGTTATGGTGTGTCGTTATCCCAGCAGAGACTATTCAGCAGAGACCACTCACTGTTTCCTAGACATGCTGTAGAGGACGAGCAGAGACCACTTGTGTCCGCCCTGGTACTACTGAAATGTTTGCTACAACTGGATCTGTATGTTCATGTGTACTACAGCGTGTAGGTTACACACTCAAACGTTGTGGCATTTGCATGGTACACATGTGCACCTAAACCTCTACTGACATTCATGTACAGCCTTGGGTGTCCATGCATGATGAAGTATTGTATCGGACGTGTAAAATCGGATGTTTGTCATGTTGTCTGGCAGGAAAAGTATGCAGACATGGATGCCTACACTGGCTGTGCCAAGGATCTTAACGTAAGGCACTGTCATCTCTGTAGCATATGTGTGTTCTGTCGGTTTCTTTTAAATCTGATGGTGAGTGATGAACCCAAAACTACTTGCACATTAAATCTACTAGAGATGGTAAGAATGGTTCAGATGACTCAAGTTACGTACATGTGCTCCTCTGGCTGATGACCTGTTCTGTGCTGTTTTCGCTTTTGCTTCCTATACAATACACGCTGCATACATGCATGCATTCATGCGTGAGTGGGAGGTTGGGGGTGTTCGTGTGACTCTTTTAAAGCCCGGTGCGGTGCCTTGCAAATGATCTTGGTGAAACACTGGTGTTGTGTGACGTGCCCACTGCCCTAGCCACATCAACTTCAATGTTTCAACATCTCGGACAGATGTATGTTGGACCGAACCCAGTCATCGACATTTTGTAAACGGGAACATCCGATTTGTGAGCTCGCGCTATATCATTCCAAGAATTGTCGGAAAACATTTCATTGCTCTCCCTCCTGTGCTACTGCAGGATAAATCGCATGCAGCACGTGATTTGTTGCTGAAGGAGAACTTGGATGCATACATGTCTGAGGTGAGACAATTCTATCCATGTGTTTGCGCTGCATGTATGTACATGACTTGTATTCTCTTGTCCTTTTAAGGACAAATATACTTCAGTCTGCACTCCGATTTAAGTCAGCATTTTTACTCAAATCTCAGGGTTTCCCAGCATTCAGCTCAGCACTTTAGTCAAATCTCACAAGAAAATACACTTCCTTTGGTACTCCCACTTGAACCTGCCTCACCATGCTCTCGATCGCTCTTGGCTGCTGTCCTAGTGATGTGTACATCGTTCTAACCGATAGTCGCAAAGCAGGCTTCACGAATGTACATAAGTATACAGTAAAACCTGTAACTAACGACCACCCCTTGGTGCCCGGAAAAGTGGTCTTTAGTGGCAGGTGGTCTTTAGTTAGAGGTTTGCACCGTGCGACCTTATATGGATCCCATTATATGATATGTATGTCAAAATGCAGATAATACAATCCCTCACCACTTGCGCACTGACATTCTTCTTTCAGATCATACAACACTTGGGGAGAGAGAAAATCAAGTTTTTTATACACCGGAAGCGATACGACCTTTTGACACGTATGTCGACTCACTGGGTTTCCAGAGCAGCGCTGGCCTGGCCAGGCAGTGCACTAGTCACTATCGACTCCATCCTCATCTGTGTGCGACTACACTGGCAACTGGTATCAGTGTGTTGATCTACAGTGGAAACTCAGTCGCTCCGACTTGGGTGTAGTGTAGCGTGAACTGTACTGGTGTGTACCAGTACGTGATGCGGCGATGTTGCGAGTTTTCGCGCCTTTCACTGTAGACTATTATCCGCCATCGTATCCTGGCCTGTGTTCTGTACAGGTGAGTACATAATACCGTAGCATGCTAGCTAGCCAGCGCAGACTCTCAGTGTGACCTGGTGTAGTGGTGAGTCTGGTGACTGAGCTGTGTGATTGCACTTCGACAGAGAGCCGCTCAGTCTTAGTTTCTCCTTCGAGTAGTAACATCGATCAAAGAGCGCTGTGGATGCGCTCTCCAAGACGTTTCTTTTCATGTTTGTTCTTGACAGCACTTGAAATTATGACAGGTGTAGTGCAATCCACACTGATTCCACAGTAAAAATGAGACTGCGCTCATTTGTCCAGCTGTAGTATCGAAACGACCATGGAAAATCATCAAAATTTCAAGAAGGAGCTTCAAGCAATGTTTGATTTGCTACATCGCGGTCGCTAGTTACGGGTCAAAATTCGACATTGGGACAAGAAAAGGCGGTCGCTGGTCGCGTTCAGCAGGTAGTCGCTAGTCACAGTGCATTTTGAATGTGAGACCGTCCGTGCCTGACAAAGTGGTCGGTAGTACCAGGCCGGTCGCTAGTCACGGTGGTCTTTAGTTACAGGTTTTACTGTACATAACGTTACATAAAGCGAATAGTGCACAGCCTGGATTGTGAAAGTATGTTCAATTTTGGGGGGAAGGGAGGGGTCTCGCCCGACACTATTTTTGTTCCTTTCGTGGGCTTCTGCAAACTTTTGGGATGGTTCCTTATGTAATTTCTCCATAACTCACATGAAGCAGAATCTCTTTAATGTTGTCATTGTTCTCGTTGAAGGTTGAAGTACCGTTGGCCACAGCTGTCAAGATTGCCATGATGTCAGCTGATACGTATGACACAGCGTTCTCCCTGCACCAATATGTAAGCCAAATGCCTTGTGTAGTTTCTCGGTATGCGGCACTCTGCGCAGACCCTGCTGTAGCCATCCATTATAACCATGCCCTTGTGTAGCTGTTGTTGTTTTTTCCATGCTCCACAACATGTGCATGTAGTTCCCCATTGTAGCGTAGCAGGCGCGTGCCCCGTATGGGTTCCTGGGTGCCCGGAACCCACTTTTTTTCGGTCAAAATGCAGGATTTTGCTTCATTTTTTGAAAATTTTCCCGGGGGATGCTCCCCGGAACCCCCCCCCCCCCCCCCTGAAGGGCACCGGCGCACGCGCCTGGCGTAGTACAGTATTGTTGGGTACTGAAGAACGACCAGGCTAGAATTTCACCAAGCACAGCATACCAAGGTATACAGGGGGACCCACCTGTGCATAGACTAGTACATGAAATAGGAACGGTTTAGGCTAGGGATCTGACCCCCAGTTTTTCGGCGACCGCCAGTACTGTACTCATCTCCTATATACAGTGTATGTGCAGGCCTGCAGCTTTAGAGGTGAGTGGAGAGTGGTGGCTAGCAAACTCATGGTTTTCCCGCTGGTGCGAAGGGAAGCTTTGTGTAGGTTGGCTTGCTGCCTCTTTTGCGATGGCCATCAGGTCTTGCATAGGGTCATGGGCAGCAACGGGCTCATCTCCAACCACACTGCTGTAAAGCTGACTTACAGTGTGGCGTTCCTAGTTGGGGAGTGTCTGTCGGAACGTAGGCCAACTCTCAACAAACCCATGCACTCGCACAAGAAGTGCATCAGATGCATGATCGGCTAGGAAGCATGCGCGTCCTGTGGCGGAGAGTACATCACGGCATTCGGCCCGCAAGTGAAGCAGTAATAGCTCGCGGACATGCCTGCACACAACACAGTTATGCTGTGTGTGTGGCTTGCCGCTGACCTGGGACAGAGATACCAACCGATGCTCGGCACCGTTGGGCTGATCTGCTTCAGGCTCCGCAGCCGCTGGTTGACTCAGTTACGCAGCTGCTGCTGGGCGTTGTAGCGGATCAGTTGCTCCACAAGACAAGTGGTCAACGCTGAATAGGTGATTTTGTCGAGGCCACAGCAGAAATGGGAAACGCAGGGTAAGCATTCGTCTCCATGATGCCAAGCACTGAGGCGTACACACGATGGTGCCAGGTGGCCGTGTGCCATACTTGCTCCAGAGCCAAGCCATCCTGCCGAAGGTGGCTGTGGACATCAATGGAAGGCGCGCCATCGTGGTGCATTGCCACCAACTTCGGTAGCTCCACTTTCTTGAAATACAGTTTCAGGTTATTGTCATACCACTTCTTCTTCGCGGGATCGCCAGCAAGAGCGGTTCCACACGTGCCCACGAAGGAATGTACCTTTCCGTCATGCCATGGCATTGAGTGGTATTTTTTTTTTTTACGAGAAACCACGAACCTCGGGACACAGAATACTGCATGATAGAGGTGGTTGCAGACACAACTGTGGTGGTGAAACTGGAGCATCTCTGCCGATCTGAGGTCTCGGCTTCAGCGACACTTCAGTGTATGCCATCCTTCTCTGCGGTTGCAGATATGAAACGGCCTTTTGGAGAAGGACACCTTGCTGAGAGGAGCTTCATTGGGAATGCTGTGTGTGCCGTTTTCACAACACCCGCAAAGAAGAGTCCGTGCTTCAGCAGTGCGACCGCTGTGTTGACGGACGCCAACCAGGAATCTGTTGCACACAATTCTCCGTGAGCCATGCCAATGATTGGTCAGTCTCAGAGTTGTGGCAGTGCCAGCACCAAACTCTTTCTGCCACTGTTTGTAGCCATGGACTCCTTGCCCTCATTGATCTCCATCGCAAGCATAATGTTGATGGAGGCATCAGCAACAGACTTCATTTCACAGCCCACACCTTTCGGCTTCCTCTTTATTTTGATGACCATGGGCATTCTGCCAATGTCTTATCAAGTTATCCGGGTTCACTAGTATCCAGTTTTCCCTGTCAGTTTATTTTTTTGCAATCATCATTACGGTATAGAGGTTATACATTTCGAATTTCAAAGCCGAAAATAGCTTTCGACTCGATAGCTTCTTTCCGTCCAACTCTCCCGAAAGCTTGATTGCTCCGCCGACTGTCGAACCCAGAAGTCGAAAAACATTATTCGGAAATTGTGAGTGCAGAACCTCTCTAACGTAGTGTAGTCTTGCTGAAGTTACAGTAGTGACCAGTGAGATTCTCCCCATGGGTAAAGTAGCGCTGCGGTCGAGTGCACAGAAAAGTGTTCACGACGTTAGTACATATTATGCTGTGCTGCACCCGCGACTATGTTATGCGTGGGGAAATCTCACTGTTTGGCACTGTAGTATCTGTAACACAGATTCCAAGTCAAAAGGCAGATAGAATCTGAAAGAGCGCAGGGAGTATGGTAACGTTACTGTGGCGACATGGACTCGCATCCAGTTACTCATGGAGTTGCACCCAAAAAACTAAACTTCATTTGCCACAGGAGACGGGAGATCTGTTTCTTCTTGCACAGTGAATACTAACTAGAGACAACAGTGAGCGCACTTCCTGTGTCATTGTCCAGGGCTGCTAACTTAGGTGAAATGCAACCCAAAGTGCAAGGCTGATGCCCTGACCTGGACCAGATTCCATTGCATCACTGTAGTTGTACATGTGTATATCCTGCACCACTCATACCACATCCAGGGTATGCCTGCACCACTCATACCACATCCAGGGTATGCCTGCACCACTCATACCACATCCAGGGTATGCCTGCACCACTCATACCACATCCAGGGTATGCCTGCACCACTCATACCACATCCAGGGTATGCCTGCACCACTCATACCACATCCAGGGTATGGGGGTGTCCTGCTTCACTCATACCACATCCAGGGTATGCCTGCACCACTCATACCACATCCAGGGTATGGGGGTGTCCTGCTTCACTCATACCACATCCAGGGTATGGGTGTGGAGGGGCGTGCAAGTCAAGGGCACAACATGATTGTGCACTTCAGGTCGGATTTCATTTAGCACAACTGTACTTGGAGTTGGTCCTGTTCTAATTCATCCACTTCTCCTTCATTTCACCTGCTCTCTCTCTCTCTTTCTCTCTCTCTCTCTCTCTCTCTCTCTCTCTCTCTCTCTCTCTCTCTCTCTCTCTCTCTCTCTCTCTCTCTCTCTCTCTCTCACACACACACACACACACACACACACACACACACACACACACACACACACACACACACATTCACGCACGCACACACATCGCCATAGGTCAACACGGTGTGTGTGCTTCACTTGGACAGTGGCAAAGCACAGGACTGGAGTGAGCTTCTCAAGCAGCAGATTGTGGACAACTACATTTCATCACACGCTGCGCTTCAGGCAGAGTTTCGGAGTCGCTCCAACTGGTGGTACAGCATGAAGGGATTCGTCCAGTGGATTGTTTGGTACGTGACGAACATCTTTGGCTGACCAGTACCACGCTGTTGGTTATCTTGAAGCGAGGACCACACTGCAGCATCCATTGCCACCCCCTGACATGCACATGGAACAAGTTGCAGGCTGAACGAGAACACTGATGTCCTCTTCTCTTTTTTTTAAATTCCATTTTCCAAAAGATGTCAAAACTCAAAAGGCAACAGCCATGTCGTGGACACTACAAGTATTTATTAGCAGTTGAATATAGCACCAAGGAGAACCCTACTTTCCAGCGTTCTCAGAGGCCAGATTCCAGCATTTTTAGTGGCCTGATGTTACTGCAGTAATTCCATCTGGTTCTGTCACGAATCCCATCGTCTATGCTATACGAACACAACCATTCTACAAGAGGGCGCATCTGCCATGGATGGAGTTAACGCCAAGATCCTGCTGCATGTCCTGGCTCTGCCAAAGCGTTGTGCAGTTCAGGTGATGGTGTGCTGCACTGCATAATGCAGAGCTAACGCTAGTCGCATTTGAGCTGTGGCATTTATTTCTGACAGCGTATATCCCGTCTCCGCAGGGCTAGAAGAATCAGGTACTTTTGCTTATGGTTCAGCTGATCATGTGTACCATTCATTTATTTTTATTTTGGTGATGTGTTTTTGTTGCTGCTGCTTGCTGCCGTATTTTGTACTAGTTTCTCATTGGAGTTCCAACGAAATACATAGTTTTTACCCTCTTTTTTCTTTTTAAATTGTGATGTGTCCCTGTTCAGTTGAGTGTTTTAAACTTGATATACCTCCGCTTTCCACAAGAAAGTCGCTCCTTCTGTCCATTTCTCTCTCTCTCTCTCTCTCGCTCTCATTGCTCAATGGTTGTGTTGAAATCTGCAACAACCCACTGCTACTTGTGATTGACAGCCAAGCCGGGCATACAAGCTGCATGCAGCGTCATGCGCTGCGGCGCTGCGGCATGCTCTAGCAGGGCAGTGGCTGTGGAACATACGTGCTGAAATTGTTTTGTATACTGTCCAAAGACAATGCTTTTATGCCCATTGTTTATCTTCATATTCAGGGTTGTGCATGACTGTATTCAAAGCACTTTGTACAAGACCGTAGAGCAGTCACTTGCATGTTGATTTGGCTCAGTGTCTCTTGGTCCTAAACAGGGTACAGAAGTGTGATTGAACAATCAACACAAGAGGTTTGAACTTTGAATAATACCGGTACTGACGTGTGAGGTTGACATCACTACCATGTACGGTGTACTCGACCTGGGTGAAAACATTAAATTTTAATCTTGATGTCTAACATGGGTCACTTTTAATACACATGCAGTACAGTTGGGTTCTGAAGAACGGATAGGCCAGAATTTCACCAAGCACACCAAAGTGATATTATGCTAGATCAATGTTAAAAGATTACTCTGCTGCGCATGCCGTAGACTGAAAATCAGGGAGTCGTAAAATACCGGTATTTTACGACTCCCTGCTGAAAATGAGAACAGTCCAGGCTAGAAGGCTGACCCCCCAGTTCTTCCGCACCCGACGGTACTGTTACTCTGTAGTGCATCCAGCCATGCATATTATCTGCAGAGTACGACCAGCCACGGTACTGATGCACGCACGACAGCGAAATCACGATTGTGCTGCTCTGCTCAACATCTGAGTATCGTGTGGGCCCTGTCGCTCGTGTACCTGGCCAAAAATGCACTGAAATTATTTGTAAGGTGTATAGAAAACTGATAGTGGTGGCCTGCGGAAGCGAAGGCTATAGCTTGTGTGTTTCTGAACATTCAAGTGATGCTAACGCGGATTCCACGAATATTATTATTACAAGTATTATTATAGAAAACTGATACCAGCAGGTCTTACAGGTCAAAGACACTTATGAAAGAAAGCCAGGGCGTTACAATTTACACTCTTCCTATTTCAAACTCATTGGCTGCATAGATCTTTCTGCTGGCCGCATAAG